TAGGGTGTAGGGTTTAGGGTTTAATAATCGCATGCAAGACTGCTTCAATGACTACGCGGCCGCAGCAAAAAGCGGGACGCTGGCTCTCTCCCGAGACCCTAAACCCTAGACACTGGTCTTCTGGGTGACCCTAAACCCTAAACCCTGAACCCTAAACCCTAAACCCTGAACCCTAAACCCTGAAGCCCTATCTGCAAGCAGCGGATCTTTTCTTCGAGGCACTCCATCGAGGCTCTCCAGATGCAGCTCGGAGGATTTCCTAACCTCCTATTTGTTGCACGGCCGCCGACAGTGAGAGCTATACCACATGATAGGATTTAGGGTTTAGGGTTTTTTTAAATGCAATGGCCTTTCTCTCCGCAAAGCCTGCCTCTCCAGAGGCTTACACTGAATGCCCTGATTCCATCAACAGGCACTTACCTCTTCGTCGACAGAAAACAGGCACCAGGGTTTAGGGTTTAGGGTTTAGGGTTTGGGGTTTGGGGTTTGGGGTTTGGGGTTTGGGTTTAGGGTTTAGGGATACCTTTTGTAGATTTTCGTAGAGTATGTTCTAGAAGATTATAGCATATTATCGTAAGGCCTCATGAGAGCTTGCCCACCACTCCCTCAACTTCTTCTTCACGAGCGACGATGTTGTGCTCCAGATCTTCCAGCACCTGCTTGCTGCCTTTCAGGCCGGTAAAGACCTGCATGGGAGTTTCCGAAGCGTTGATTCAGCCCTCCATAGCCCTCCTAATAAGGATCATCCTCTGGTAAACTCCCACCTTGAGGGTGATGACATCCCGGGCCATGGCCTTGCAGTTTTCGGATATCGCCTCCTCCGGACCCTCGCAGACTGCCGCTTCCCCCTGCAGGTCAATGATCTTCCGAGCTTCAAGCTGCATGTTCTCGGCTGCGAGCAAGCTGGAGCGAACGTACTCCTCGTGCTCCTGTGCCTCTTCTTGGCTCAGGTGGTCGCTGCAATGGATGGGAAGCTCGATCTGCTCTGTCTCAGGGCCATGTACAAGCTCTTCCAGCAAGGACAAGCCGAAGAACGTCTGCAACCGGTCCTTCCAAGGCAACTCTTGCGTGGTGGTCTCCTCATCTTCCATCTCGTCCGTCAGCTCCAAAGGATCCTCGCAGCTTTGTAGCTCAATCTGTCAAAGCCTAAGCCTCGCATCCCCAAGCCTAAATGCTGAACCCGAAGCTCTGTGTCCCTGCAATAAGAAACAACACCAACAACCAAGTCAGAGGTGCTTTCGCTGGGCTTTTCCGATGTATATACAAGGCTGTTGGGGCTACCTGGGACGAATATACTAGCCTAGACGTGCTCTCCGGCCTCCTCGGTGGTCGTTTCGGAGTCCGTAGGCTCTTCGGTCTCCTTGGCCAGTCTCTTCGGGGTCTGTATGCTCTTTGGTCTTCTCGGTCGTAGTGGTCCTTTCGGCGTCGGTCGACTTTTCGGTCTCCTCGGCGGTCGTTGTGGTCGGCGTAGTCCTCGCTTGAGCAAGACAAGGGAGTCTCGGGGAGCGGGGTTTAGGGGTCTTTCGGATTCACTTCTGGGATGTTGACATGGCCCGTCGACTCCCAAACAGCATGTCCAACGATGCAAACCCCTCATTTGCATCGGGCCTAAGCGACTGACCCGAAGGAGCCTTCCGCGCCTGAAAGCCCACGGCCCCTGAAGAAGCCCGACGATGCTTGTCTGCTACCTCAAGATCCTACACTCCAGACCCGATCTTTAGACTCTAGCCGATTCTAGCCTGCAGGTACACTGCCGGGCCAGCTAACGGATGCAAAGCTGAGAAACCTACCTCATCGAGGCGGCGTTGTGATGGCATTCTGACCCGGTAAACTCCTGCGCCAGCTTCCGAGCTTCATGTCCGCTAAGCACATACTCGTGGTAGTTCACGCGGCCGGTGGAATAGTTGACTACCATCATGCCTGGTGCTGCTCTTGGAGGCCACCCGCACAAGAGTTGCAATTGCCATGGTACACTGTTACAGAGCTGCTCTGTTAGTATATACACCTATACATTGAAAAAGCCCCGGAATGCTTAAGTCTGACCCACATGAGGTGCTAAAACCTGTGGCTTGAATCTGGTGCGTTTCGTGGGGTCCGAAATCATGGATTTCCGAGTCTTTTCTGAAATGGGCAGACTAGGTACGGGGTTGGGTTGCGGGGCTGGATGGTCGGCGCAGGGGTTTGGGTCAGGGACCCCGTCAGCAACCTGACCCGTCGGAACGCGTCGGGAGCCATCGGGAACCCGTCGGGGACCCGTCGGGACCTCACGAAAACTGTCGAAAGCTGTCGAAAACCCTCAAAACCGCTTTCTGGACTGCTTAGCTGGGGTGGGACGGGTTCCCGACGGGTCCCGACGAGTCCTCGACGGGTCCCCGACGGGCCGCGACCGGTCCCCACGGGTCCCGACGGGTCCCCGACAGGTTCCCGATGTGTTCCCCGGGTCCCGACGAGTCCCCAACGAGTTCGGTTGGGTTTGCGCCCTCCCTCCCATCCCCGCCTTTTCCCTCCCCCTCCCCCTTCCTCTCAAGTTGCTTATC